TCAAGGGAAACAAGCAGAGTTTCTGTCTATGCAACTACTCATGATTAAACCATGATTATGTGTGTATGTGCTAATGCTGCCATACAGTTCTCATGGACTCTGAATTACGAAAGTAGGAATTGGCTCAAACTGGAAAAAGCTTGTATTAACTGATGAGAGTTCAGGTTATCAAATAATGAATATGGAAACCTTGACTAATATGCCAAAAGATATATGGATCTTGACTTGATCTAATACAGGCAAGCAATATCTGGGTTTGAACTTGCAGCAGATCAGATAGTGTTGAATTGTGTTACAGGCTAATTGAACAAGGTGGGGTTTCAACAAATTTATTCTTCAAGACTTTGTATTGCCAGAATACTGAAAAATAAATGAATCTTCTTCATTTGATTATTGCCTTAAAATATGGCAAACTCGTTAAGAATGAAAAATATATATAAAGAGGTTAATTTCTCCAAACCATGGCTTTAATTCACTCAAATATAATAATCTTGTTCAACTATGTTTGTTACTTCTCACCACTGTGACATTAATGAAAAGAGAAGGAAACTGTAGCTCAGATACCATGTAAACTCCCCAATTATTTTAAAACCATTGTGCAATTCACACAAGAATGTGGTCACATTTATTACCAATAGAAAAACTGCATACACAACCTTAGGTTTGAAATGTAGTGTTTATGCAGAGAGGTGGTGAAAATATTAACCAATCTACTATCTTTTACTCTCTTCAGAGTCAAGTTTTCTAGCTAGAACCAGAAACTGATTATAACCAGATATTGGTTATAGCTGAAAAATGTTGATACACTAATTGGAATTTCCAGATCAGTGGATTAAAGACTTGAAAGAATATATTTATTTATGGTTTTTCCATACCATCTATATTTCTAGCAAATCTCAGGTTAGTTTACAAAGTAAAAAAATCAAAACAATTAAAAACCCCAAACAGCCAGTTCTTTAGTTAAAATTCAATAAATATATATTATCTAACAATTAAAAAACTGGGTATGACACCAGAATGATGTTGGCACCAGGCAAACCTCTGGGGAGCATGTTCCACAGTTGGGGGCCACAGCTGAAAAGGCCCTTCTCTTAGTAATGGCCCTCCTCACTTCTTTCAAGGAGGGCTCTTGGAGAAAGACCTCCACAGATGATCTTAAGGTTTGCACAGGCTTATACAGGAGACGTTTCTTTAGATATCCAGGCCATAAACCATGCAAACCGAGTCAACATCAGCACCCTAGTTGAGGTGCACTAAAGAATATATTTGGTGTAAAGATGATACAGTACAGTACAGCTGAACCTCAACTCTCACTGGTTTAACATTCATTCATTCATTCATTCATTCATTCATTCATTCATTCATTCATTCATTCAGGTTTTGTATGCTGTCCCACAGCCTCATGAATTTGTGAATTTGCCAGCAAAAACAAATAAATAGCAGGGTTATTTGGAGCTTTGTGGCCTACAGTGGAAAATCATCATCACCAGAGAGGGAGGGAGAAAAGCGGAGCGAGGGAGCGTCTCCAAAGCAGGCCTTCTTGCCCTGCCCACCCAGAAAGGGAACTCCCTCTAGCATTTCCTTGGTGAAAAGACTGAGAGGGAGGGTGGGGAATAAGAGTAAAAAAATGTAATTGATGAAGGAGCCCTCCTGGATCAGACCAAGGTCTGGGAGAGGGAGGGAAAAGATATCCTGTGCACATATGGTCAACAGTATTAAGAGGTAAGGTTTGGGGTGAGACCTAGAGATATTCCCCGTTTTCCACTTTCATGCAGGTCCTGTGCCTCTGTGAATGTGGAGGACTCGGCTGTACATTGTTTAAAAGCTATTGCCTCTTTTGAAGATCAGTGTGGCTGTTTGTATTGTGAAGCCAACATTGTTCAAACATACAGATAAGGAAAAAAGACATTCAGTAGTTAGACGTTCTATACTGTACTTCTTTTAAAAATACAGTAGGACCCCTGTAAATGCAAGAGATAGGTCCCAAGCTTCCCAGAATATACTGTATACGGAGCCCTCCACATTTGCAGGTGTTAGGGGTGCAGGAGGGAAAACTGTGACGATCTCTAGCTCCTTCCCCAGATTGCCATTCTGGGCCAGCAGTAGGTGGCCAGGTGTGTGGTGGCCAGGGCAGCAGCTGGGGAGTGCTCCCCACACTAATCTGTGGAAAGATGCAGTGCTTCTTGCGCAGGCCCAGTCCCTTTCCCTGAAATTTTCTATTTAGCTTTTTCAGACTGCAGTTAAGTGAAATCACAGCAACTGAAGCAACAGATATGGCAGCGGGGGTGGGGGGGTCTGTTCTTTGGAGCAATTTTTTGGAGTTCCACAAACCTGGTTCTGGTGGTGGTTGAGATCAAAAATATTTGCTGCATGGACAAGCAAAGGTCTTAGCTTTAGTGTGTTGTAAATCTGTATTTGGTTAAGATAGCACACTTGGATTTGAGATGATATAAGGATGTTTTGGACTTTTTCCTGCATGTGTCTTAAACAACTTTGATTGTCGAATTAATCTTAAATATTTGAGGCAAGATTTCAGTCAAGCCAGCTTATTTTCAAAGTAGGTAGCAACAAAGGGGTGGGGAGACACCTGACAAACATCTTCATAGCCTGAAATACAAATTTGGTGGGAGGGATTTGGGATGACGTTTTGCATGCCGCAGTTGCTCCCATTTAAATGAATATGTAAGTGTGAGAGCAATCTGTAAACAAATGCATGCTGCAGTAAACTGAATTTTGGTGACATCAACTCACTTTGTTCCATTCTTGCTCTTTCTATAAACCAACTAGCACACGATCAGTGGCAGGTGCCATTTTGTTTACATAGTAAGTTTGGTGTATTTCTTTTTTTAATCACCAAATCTACAAATATTTCAAACAACTCTATATTCCTCAGCACACAAAAAATATTTGAGAGTTGTCTAACAAAGTACAGCAACAGGTATTAAATGCTTCCCTCTATCAGCTCTGGATAGAAGTAAGAAGCAATCAGTTAATCTGCTGGGTACAAAACCTGCTTATTGGGAAAATATCATTTCAGATGTAGAGGTTTTACAAAAGCTATTTCACAAAGAACCTGTTCAATGGAACTTTCAACCAAATATTGAATTCCCTAAAGAGTTATTGAATAAAACACATTAAAAGTAGATACCATGTTTACTTATAGCACAAGCCTATGAGTAAACAAATAAATTCCACAGAATTCAGTGGGGATTACTGCCTGGGAACTGAGTACAAGATTGTAACATCAACAACAGGTAGACATTTTTTAAAAATGAAAGATATGGATATGTTGTGTTCCTTCTCTATAATTTTCTTTAGCAAAACATGTATTCTATTCCATATCTCTTCCACAGTACCATTGGCTTTGCACAACAGCCACAGCTATTAAAGTAATTTCTAAAGATGAAGAGCATAAAATGAAATCCAAAATTAGTCATCCTGAATCCAACTGGAATCAAAGGAACTGATGCTAGCTCTGAATAATTAAACCCACTGATTTCAGTGGGATGCAAGACTGACTAAAGATGCAATCTTACAGATGTTTAGATAGAAATGCAGACTACAATTCTGACCATTCCCCAGACAGGATAGCTGTAGACCTCTTTCCTGTCCAAACAGTAATAGGACTGTACCCTAACTCTCTTGATGAGGGAGGGGCTAAGATGATGATCTAAAAAGATATATCTGCATACATATAGAGATGATCTTAAAAAAAAAAAACTGTTCTGCACAGAAGCTCAACTGCAAATTCTGCGACTAGGAACTTTTTTTTTTTTTTTTAAGAAGGAACTTACATTCATGTGATTAGTGCTCATCTACACTTGCATATAGTTTCTATAAATCATGGCCTTATTATGGTCAGCCTAGAATGGCCCAGTCAGCCAGACCATACTGCCTTCATCTCACCCAGAGACAGAAACCTGCAATCTGCTGCAGGTCTCCGCTTAAAAAAAGGCTAGGTCACCTGAAGTTAGTATTGTAATATAGATGATCTCACTGAAGGCATTTGTGAGCCAAGTGCCACCACTTAACCAATACATTCAACAGTAGATTTTCTAGATGTCTTAACAAGAATAGTCTCCCAGAATCCATCTCTGGGCCAGGGATAAAGTAGACCGACAGTCAACAAACAAAAACTAGATATCCCTCTGAATGTTCCATCCAGGCAAGTGAGGAGGGCCACAGGTGATACAGTCCATGAGACTAAACCTTTTCCCATACCGTATTTTTCCCCAAATCCTGTAAATCTTTCACCTTCTTTCACCAAAATCGAAATTGCATTCTTCTGGATCATGCTATGGTGTTACAACACCGAAGGCAACATACCGAGTACAACATGCTATCTAGATGTGCTCCCTTAAGAAGAAAAACATGGGTGAGCTGCAAAGAAACCCAATATACAGGATCCATGGCCAGTTCTTCCCAAGGGACTGAAAGTGTAGTTGAACTGAGGAGACTGGAAATTTTTACTCTGGGTGTAGTGAAGACGACTAGGCCAGACTTCGCACTCTCAGAAATATAATCTATGTATTAGTGTGTGGCGAGAAGGCAGAAATCACTGATTTCTGCCAAAGGCCCCTATGTGCAGCCCCTCCTCCCTGTCCCATGTTATACTGCACCCCATTGCTCAAACCTTCAGGAGTGTCTTTTTCAGGGAGTACACTGGGCTGCAACAGAAATGGGTCAACAAAGCCCAAGTGTATGCAGAGCACAGCATGCAGTTCTCTGGATCCAAGCCAATCTGTTCCCAAAACACCACAAGTTTGAAGTGGTTATGCAGAAAAGTGCAGAACCAGAAAAAGTAGTAAAGATCATGAAGAAAATGAATTCACTTAAATGTAACCAAAAAGGAATAGTGTTCCCATTGCAATCAAATATTTCAGCTTTATGCAGAACACTAGTCTGATTTAAAGCAAACAACATTATGGGTTGTGCTTTTCATTCCTAGGTTTGTATTATGGTTCTAACTTTACGTGAAAAAGAACAGAAAATACAAAATGTTCAGCTTAAAATAAAATTTATTATAGTACAAGAGTGTTGTGTGCAGAAGATACATAAATAACATACAAAGCAAATGAAAAATGGAACACATAACAAACCACTTAAACTGAGGGAAAATATAACACATGCTAAAACAATGTTTTAAAGCATTTACATTTCCAATAAAGCACTAATGATGCCAAGAACAAAAATGGAAGAAAAAAAAGCAATACGACAAATATATGCTTGAATATCAAGAACAGGTATTGCCGTGGACAGAAATGCATACTAAACTTCATTAAGAATATTTAGACAAAAAAAGAGTTAATAATATTCAGTCAGCTTTTAATACCATATTTAAGATCTTACTTTTATGGTAGTAAGTTATTCTCATTGGAATGAAGCCACTGCTTCATAGAATCATGCCCAATAAGCTGAGACTCATACTATATTCTACAGTTATATAATGGGCAGTTTCAGATGCAGTTTAAACAACAGGTTGTTTCAACTGTCTTTTTAATGTGAATGCAAATCTACTTTGGCCAGAATGCTCTTTCACATTACAAATGTCTTTCTTCCCCACAGATGCTCAACAGATATAATACAAGATGACTATTAAGTCAAAGGAGATTAAGCCTCATATATGAACATTATGAGCTTTGGATTAACTAGGATGTTTATTTCATCCTAGGCAAGATGTTAGTAAAGGGAAGTGTTTAATCTGTTATACAGTTAAACATAAGTAAGTCACAGGAGGTCTGCTAAACGCAACAACACCGAGGACACCAATAAACAAAGCCAAACGCCTCAGAGATGCACAGTCTTTTGGCGTTAACTGAAACCAACTGCCCAGGTAAATAGTAAAGCTGCTGCTGGGTCAGCTGGTGAGCAACATTTCCATTTCAAGCTATATTTCAATCAAACTGAATGCCACACATTAACGGTTTCATGGTCTTCCACAGCTCTTGTGTAGGCTCACCTTTCTCAAAGTGTGGGGCTGATGTCCCTAAGGAGACCTGGGGAGACAGATATGCAGAAGAACGGGGGTGGGCACAAGCTGACAAGCCCAAGATCTACTCCCCAGGAAGAATCCATAAGGAGGACAGTATTACTCACTACTGTTATTTATACCTTACCTTTGTATTGTAACATTGCTTACAATAAAACTGTAAAAAAGAGGAAAACCTCAAACAACCAAACACCAACAACAACAAAAACAACAAAACAGCACCAGGTAAAATCAGTTGCAGGGTATCAGCAATAAAATCAATTTAAATCCTAAGAAATTTTTAAAGAAGCATGCAGGTTCTACTTAAAAGCCACGAGAGAATGGGCAAAGCAGATTTACTGAAGAAGGCCCATTAACTGAAAAGCCCCGTCTCTGGTACCCACCAGCCAGGCTGGTGACAGGTCAGATAAACTGATCTCAAAGCATTTAGGACTTCAATTGCCATTGCTGGCATTCTAAAATGAATCCAGAAACTAATAATCAAAGCAACTGAGACAAAACTGTGTAATTTACTCAACGTGTGCCCAGCCCTCATAAGCATTCTGATGACTGAATTTGTGCCAACTGAAGTTTCCAGACAGAATCTCCATCAATCTACTTCTGTACAGGAATGAGGGGAGACAGTAGAAGCCAAAGGCCTACTATTAATCCATCCTGAAGGAAAATGGTAGAAAGAAAAACACCATATTTTTCTATTCAGCTATACGATTATCAGTCATGCATCTACCAGTCCAGCTACAGGATTTTTCAGGGATCTTTTCTGTCATCCAGTGACTGACTGACTGACTGACTGACTGATGATTCAGGAGCTCCCTGAATGTATTTCTGCATAGACCTATTGTTTCCTGTCCTGTTCCCCTTGCTCCCCACCCCAACCAAGGTTTTAAAAGAACATCACAGGGCTGATAGGATCCCAATTTTTCATTTTGGTTAGGTGCATCTGTTGAAGTACACCACTGCCACCAATGACATAGTCCATGTTGATCTGAGGGACTGTTCAGAGAGCATTCTCATTTCTAGGATTCTTCCTGGAAATAGATTAATGCTAGGCCTTTGGGTTGTCACTCCCTCCCACAACTCCTGTACAAGAGCAGACTATATAAGGGACAATAAATCACTAATCCTCCAGTCATGCTGACCAGGGGAAGCCACAAAACATGCTGAATTTGCAAACAAGAAGCTTTCGATTAGCATTAGAAAGAACATTTGATGAATAAAACTTTCTTGCAAGTAGACATTATGAAAGAATGTTGGCCACGAGGAAGGGTTCTACTAATTATATAGGAATACAGGATGCTGCCTTAAGCAGAGACAGACCAGTGGCCCACTGAGCATAGTATTAGCTATTCAAAGACTAGAGAACCATTTTGGGGTGTGGGACTGCGTTGCCCCCACCAGGCCCACCATGGGCCAGGTAATATCAGGTGCTATGGCACCACCCCTAATGTCACCCTCCTTTCTCCCTTGATGGTGAAATGAGGCACAAAACTGTGCTTCCTCACACCTAACTCTTAACTCAGGTTCCACACAGCACTCAACCCTATTTCCAGCTAACTGCAGAAAAGTCAAGCTTCAACAGCACTAAAAGGCTCTAGTGTAGAAGCAAATGACCCAGTCTGCACATCACAGTAAGCTAGAATTGTGGGGGAAACCTGGCTTATCAGAATTTAAGAGTGTTGCTGCTTCCACTTGGCTCCCCCTTCAAGTGAGAGTAACTAAACAAACCTTGGCTTGTGACTTGGTCTTATCGGAGAAGAGACAGAACTGACTTGTTGTTCAGACATCACCAAAAAGAAACCATAGGTGACATGTTTGTGACTTGTTTAGCTACTCCTGCTTGCACAAAAAGTCAAGAGGAAATTATCAGACAGCGTATGAAAGGCACTATTTATAAACAATTAGCCAGAATTCCCCAGAAATTCAATTTACTGTGCCCAAACACAGTCACTATGTTACTCCATCACAGTTTGTTTGTTCTTTTCTTTCTTCTTTTACCTCTTGCCTTTTTTTGGAACTTTTAAAAATATGTGTTTATTACTCCTATGTTATAGTTTTGGTAGAATCTAGAAAATAAAAATCAAAATTTTGATGCTTAAACAATTGCCACAACTTTCAGAAGCTGAAGGCTCAGTACAAGCATTTTTCTAGTATACTGCTTTTGGAAGATTTAGTTGGACTTGCTATGAAATATTTTTCAACACTATGCTGACATTTAAAGTAAATTTAAACAAGGTTCTAAATATTGGTATGCAATTGTTCATACAAAAATCTTGCCAGCTTAATTTATTTTCAGCCTTATCCAGTTAGCTTAAGTTGAATGACTAACTGTACATACATTTGCTTGAAAACAACAGAACTTGCTTTCAAGTGCTTGGGATCAAGATACTAAAATGATCATGGGGAAAAAAAATTAAAAATTGTAATTTTCCCCAAAACACCAGAAGATCCTGACACCAGTAAGAAATACCCACTTATAAAAATGTATGATTTGAGAATTAAATTTTTCCTACATCTATTGCTCCCATTTTTCTTTATTAACAGTTATGCTGTTTCTATTTTGTTGCATTGCAACATATCTATAACATTGTCACAACCCCTATAAATTCCCTTTTGACTTTATTTCTTAAGCACAGTACAACAGCAAGTTCAGACAACACACATTTTCAGGTTTTGTTTCAATTTGCTTTCTGAAAAAGCAATTAAAGCAATTTGTATAAAAATTGGATACTAATTTGGTATCATCAGCAATATTTACAAAACATGGAAAACAAAAGAACAAAACTAAAATATCGGGAACTGTGCAATCTAGAGCAACTGGAATGTGCTTATAAAGGTGAAAACAAACCCTCTGAAACTAGAGCCCACTCCTTTAGTTTTGCTCTCCCCGACCTTCCATTCTATACACTACAGTAGTGGAGATGTCCTCATTTGACTCGGGTGACACTTTTTTCCACACAGTCTCTTTTAATGCAAGTTCGTGCTGAAGACTCTCATAGTCCAATGGTCCAAAGGAGTGCTAGTTGTTCAAGCAACATACATCATTTATTAGATTACCGGAGAAGAGAAACATTCTAGAATTACTGACATTTAGCAATTAGCATTTGCAGGCTGTCAACTCTCACCACCCACTATCACTATTTAACACACTTATCAGCTGGAAGACACACAATGGGAGGTGTGTAATTTGGAAGGAGGACTTCTCCCCCAAACAACTTTAGTCACACAGAATATACTAGTAGCATTCAGGAGCTTCCACATCATACTATGGTTTCAGAAGCTCTCTTTCTCCCATACCTAGGCGTTCACACCATAGTTCACTATCAGGAGTCTGAAGGGGCCCAGCCTTCCACCTGACCTTGATGGACAGGGACTGTTTCCACAATGACATGGTGATTCCTACCAACTTTAAGGCTTGGTGGAAGAGCTAGGATTGCTCAGCCTCCACATTCCTAAGGAGCTCCATGACTGAAAGACCCCAGTCATTCTTTCCACTTTCAAATCTGAAACTGTAGGAGAGTGCTGTGAATGGTCCTTGAACCTTGCCCACAAGGGACAAGGGAAGAAACAAAGTCTTAGCAAACACTATTTTTTGACTTGTCTCCTAAGGCCAGTCAAAAAGTGTAGATCCCTCCCCAATTACTCACTGAGATCCTGAAATCTAAAAGAAAGATAAGCAAAGTGTTTGGGTGTGCACACAGAATTCTAAATCCCAGCTAGTGTATTTAGAAGAAAGGCCATCTGGGAAATTGCTTTCCTTTGCACTACATCTTCCAGAAATTAATATAGCCAAAACCAACAAAGATAGCAAAAGACACTTTACCACTACTACACTGAGCAACAAGAACAGTACTGGGGCTCTTTCTCTTTACCAGTCTCTGGACCACAATTGTTATCAAAACAATTGATAATTTGTACTATACTTCTATAAGGAGTTGTTATGATTTTTATTCAAGTTATCCAGTTACAGAGTGATAGGTTTTGTTTTTCTTTTCATATTATATCTGTGAGCAAACACACTATGATACAAGGAGACTGGAACAAAGACTGCTGAGTATGTCAATTCCCCTTCACAAGTATTGGCTCAGGAGACTTAGACCCATCTGTAAGTGATAAATGAAGTGTTCCCAGTCTTGCTTGAGGCTAGTCTAAATAGACAAATACCAGGTAGGCTAAAACAGTAGCAACAGCTGGTACACTGTCACATGCCAAGTTACGGTAAGGCAGTGTCTAAAACAATACACACTCAGCATCTGGTAATAAGTTCCAGTTATAACAGATTTGGCATAAACTGAATTGGAACACTCAGAAGTTAAGGCACTGATGCAGTATATGTCATTGAGCGATCTAATTTGGAAAGTAAGAAACCTACTACACACTCTGCACACAAAATCACAGAATACCTCCAACTTACCCGCTGATCACCACCTTCCCTGCGAGGATCAAGCTTCTTTGCAAAGTGCCTCAAATTATCATAGTTATGGAAATTGCACAAAGAAACCAGTTCCTGCAATGGTAAAAGGCAACACAATTTATAAAATGCTTTGCTCATCTGTAGCGGCCTTCCCCAATTTGGTGCCCTTGAGATATTTTAGACTAAAATTTCCATCATCCCTGATCACTGAAAATGCTGGCTGGAACTGATAAATCCAAAATATCTGCAGGCACCAATTTAGGAGCAATGCTCTGTAGTCTGCCATAAGCTATCTACACATAATGAGCTTCAGGACCAGTAAGAAAAGCTCCTTCACTAATTAGAAATTTAGAAGAAAATTCTAAAATTGTTTTGAAATGCAGCTTAAATGTAAGAATGTAAGGATTCACAGAAGAATCTATCTATATTTTTGGCAGCCAAAGCAACCAATGGTATTTGCAGTGCTGATGTGAAAATAACTTGCACACTTTTCCACCTATAAAATCACCGCCCCCCAACTTTCTGTAATACTGACTGGCTGCAGCTCCAGAACCCGTTTCAACAGTCAGCTTTCTTCCCAGTGACATCACGGTAGAATAGTGGTAATTTGCTTTCTACCAGAACAATTAGGGAAGAAGCCAATTCCTGTCTTTATTTTAATGGCATCAAAGTTGAAGCCAACTGGGACACTGAACAGCAGTGTGTCTGCCAGCACAAGTTTTCAACAAGCTTTGTGGTGTTATGAACACACCCTTTTCACTGAGAATGTTCAGCCTTCATCTGGATCAATCTAATAATGGACACATCAGGACCATCTGTTAATTTGCACATCCACTCAGATTTCTGAAGTTTAAGTTCAACCTTCCCAGCCACCATCATTGAGATTTTTAGTCAGCAAATCTGAGACCTGTGTCCAAGCAAAATGATCATGGCAGTTCTGATGCTGACCAGTAACTAATATTTAAAAAGCCAATATTCAAGAAAGAGCCTTGCTTACATGACAGAAATGTATCCCTTTAACACTATTTCCCATCTTGTCCAGAGGTGGTGACCAGCACATCATGCCCATAACATTAGGAACAACCAGGAGGATACCACCAGCAACTCCAGATTTTGCAGGAAGACCAACCTATATTAAATGGAAAAACAAGAATACTCCCATTTAAATACGGTAATGGACATCTGTAACAGCAGCAGTACTACCGTTAAGGAAGCAGCCCTCCTGTTGCTATGCTAGCACCAGACTTTTTACACTACCTTGGTTTCTGATGTTAAAAAGCAAGTAAACTATGAGCTGAGCTGAAGTCTATCCTCACACAATTCCTTACTGCATCTTCTTTATGTGTCCATAAACACAAAATTAAGACAAAAATGGGTGAAATGCCATGGAAATTTTCAGTAATGGTAGGGCAATTAAGCTCTTTGGAAGAAGGGGAGAGACGAACAACTGTCCAACTCAGTTATTATGAGGGTAATGAGAAAATCACATCAATAAGACCTGAAAACACATCATAGAGAAATGACAACACAAAAGGGAAGTCTATTGCTCTCTCAGAGGCAGAAGTTCAGAGGAGAACCCATGAACAGCAGCTGAACCCTAGGCAACAGCTCGGTGCACCAACCACTCCACTATCCAAGAAGTGCTGTCACTGAAAGTTCTAAGTATCTCGTGAGGCACAGGTCTTGGCAATTATACATGCCACCCTTTTTCAAGGATCCCCCAATTAGTAAACTTACATCCCATGTATTATTTAGTAAGTCCCCTCACAGTGCTTGTGGGGTAATTTTGGCTTGCCGATCGAGAGCCGGCGAGCCTTGGTGGCACAGTGGTGATCACTGCTTTAGTTTAAAAGATCCATCAAACACTAGCATCTGCTGCTCCAAAAAGAGAGTTTTAGCATCTCGCTTTGGCTGTTTCCTAGTAAGAGCCTATTGGTTATATACAATAATATCAACTATGATACCTCTTTACCAAATGCCAGTATGAAAAAGGTACTTACATGAAAGGCAAACTGTCCTGAGAAGTCATACATGCCACAGGAATGCATCAAACTTAGAGTGTTCCGAACAGCTTCAGGACTCAGGACTCTCTCACCAGTGATTGGGCAAAACCCGCCATTAGCTAATGTTGCTGCCATCACGCTAGCTGATTCACAAGTTACTTCGATGGAGCATAACTTGAGAGAAAGAAAGATAAAGGGTGAGAAAGTTTTGACTCAACTAAGTCAACCCCTCCCCTGCCCACCACCTGCTGCCACCTAGATGTTTTGGACTTAAAACATCCTTAACCAGCATGGACAGTGGTTAAGCTATGAAGGGCTAATATGAATAAAAGGACTGCCTTAAAAAAAAAAAAAGGAAAACTAGATCTGACCATAAAGTACAGTAGCATCCTGCAAACAATGTAAGCCTGAAGACTTGTCATTGCATTAGGAAAGGACAGTGTACCTTAGAGAAAACATTAACATGCCTGGTTTTCAAATTAATAGTAGGCAGGCATTTTCATGATCGAGATAAACAATGCTGTTATTATGGATTAAGTGTTTACATTGCTAGCCAGTTGGAGGAAATTTTGTCCAAACTTACTTTCTGGTCAGCAAAATATTGTAAACTGCTCTGATTTAATTATGACTACTCTTTATAATCAAAATACATGATTGAGTGGTTATGAAAGTATATCGTATTACAGAAGAATCCAATCTTAAGGCAAAATCATGACAATTCATAGTTAACACTAAAACTGTTTAATGTTACTTTGAACAGATTTGTCAAAAAAAGTTCCAATCAGCTACTTTTTATGGGATCAGAAAATATGCTGGTGATTCTCTACTTAACCATTTAATCTTTTGTCATGCCATTTCTGCTTCAGCACACTATTAGGAAATGACACCATCTCCACATCATATCATCCCTGAAAGCAGACGCATACAATTCAACAATGTCTGTCGACAGCACATTTCCCATTAGCTGCAGGCAGCAAGAACTCTGGATTGCTTGAAGCATATTCAATTGAAACCAAGGTTATCCTTTTTGGTCATATGCTTGTATACACTAATTCCATACTGTGCTAGTAGAAGTCTGCTCATACACTGCAGCATTTTGCATCCCTTCAAGACCTAGGAACTTCTTGAAAAGTCATTCTGAAGACAGAGGACTATCAAGGCAGGCTGGACTGATTTTAAACAATTATGTGTATCAGGAAAAAGTCTGATTTAAATCAATATTTTAAACTACCTACATTTCCTGAATCATGATGCAAATTTGATCCCTGAACCATGTTAATTTACAACTACACAGAGGACTGGTGGCACGGTTTCATTCTTACAAGTAGGTTTTGTATCACATATCCTTTATGCCATTTATGGAGATTCCTGCATTTCTTTGCTTTTTATAGGGATATAGAGAGAATCCCTTTCTTATAAACCAGTACTCATGACTATTTGAGGTGATCAGTACAATCCCACGCGTCTTCTCAGAAATGTTCCATTGCGCTTCTTTGCACAATGGGACAACTCTCTGTGGTTTAACCCACTGTGGTTTAACCTCACATCATTTAACTCATGTTAAATATTATTTAATTCTCACATAGCTCATATTCACTGTGTTTGCAGGGGCTGGATATGTTTGTTAAAAAGAGAAGTCAAGATTTTCCAGCATGTTGCCATTTGTGTTCCCATACTTAGGCTACAATCCTATAACCACTTGCCTGAGTGAATGCCCCACTGAATTCAAGGTCCAGGTTTGGTTTAAAGTCAAGGCCCAACCAAACCTGGTCAAAGTGACAACACAGACTGCTACTGCTGTATCATCAGATTATGAAACATTCATACAATAGCTGTATCCATTTCAATCTTATGTATGAAAGGACTTCAGAATGAACCCTCCTTTCATCAGGTAACTCTGCCTTCCATACTACACATATAAGCACTGTACAGCCATGTATGGTTGCAAATTCAGCAAACAGAAGAAAACCATGTTAGTATTTTTGTGCTGCAAAGGTTCATGGGAAGATTAAATGATTTTCTCTGGTTTATTGAATATTTACAAATGTGTATGCATATATGCTGGTTAAATGTGCAGCCCAGAGAAGTCAGAATAAGGCTAAAAAGTTAGAAATTCAGGAGAAACCTCTAAAACAAGCTGGAAGCTCTTTCTGGGGATTCCCAAATGTGCTTTAAATATACAACCTGACTCAAATTGTTAGATACAAGTTGCTAGTGAGATTTTATGATTCGCTAATGCCGCACTAGATCTTGTTACTACGTTTTTTCTGTCTTTACAAAATACGCATATTTTTAAAAGTTAATATTGTAGTATGATTAACCACTGATCCCAGTTCTGAATGTTTGGTTAACATTACAGTTGCTTTATCCTTTTTAGATATTTACATTTTCTCTTTGGGGACTTCCACTGAAAAGAATTTGAAATAGGTACCTGGAAGTAGAAATCCAATATTCCAACCATGTCTGTTCCTTCTGGAAAACACTGGAAAACAGTATTGTTATGATGGTCATTATTATTATATACTAATTTATTAATTTTATCTGTATTACCCAACAGCCAAAGAAAGCATATTTTAGCATATTATGCCATACTAAAGGTGCAATCCTATGTATGTTTAAACAGAGAAAAGGCCTATTACACCTAGCATATTCTAGGCCTTTTTTCTATCTCAACTCATAAGATTGTACCTTAAAGAAACTACCATATTTGAATTAAAGCTTTTGAGTTTAATTTATGAACTCTTTCCAGTACTCAGCTGAGACTGCAAAAGCAAAATGGGCACTCTTTAGACTTAAACTCCAACACATATTTGACGAACTTTTCACTGACAACTTCTGCAGCTATTTATATTCTCAAACTAAGAAACCAAAGTGCATTTCTAAGGAGTTCCTTTTATACACCACTAGCAAAAATCCATGAAGCCTTTTTGGGAAAAGCCTGAGGATATGTATGATGAGGGTTAAGTTTCTTGCCCTGAACCAGCTGAGGGTTCTTGCCTTCTTCTACCCATAACCAGCTGCTCCTGTTGGTCCTACAAGCAGAACGAAAGTTCCCAATCATATCACAATGAACACAACCAGTTCAACTTTAACAGAAGTCTGTGACTGTGATTTCAGTATACATTTCACTTGAGTGAGTGAGAATATACTCTGACACACATCAGAATTCAGCAGAAGAGCAATTGGCATAAATTTTTGTTGCTCTGTGGAGTAAGCCTGTTTTGTCCCCACTTAGCTTTGCAAAAGATACACCAGTAATTCCAGTACCAAATCAGAATCAACTTTCCCTCCCTTCCATATTTCTACTCCCACCCATTTAAAAAAGATCTTTTGAATGCATCAAGATATTACTTTTATTCATTTGAATATTGGATTGGCACTTTAAACACATTCATTATAAATGTACATGTTAAAGTCTGCTTTGGGGATGGGGAGAAAGTAGTACCATGAGAGCACAGCCAACAGTCAATTAGCACTGTGAGAGGTAGCCTGCTGCAGCCCAGGAAAAGAGGCAGCCTCTGAGCTCATTCCTGGAGAGAACAAGGTCCATTTCCCCATAATGCATCAAGTTCAAGTGAACTGTTATATCTGTCACTACTGTTGTCCTTCTACTATGCTGCTAACTGCTTTGGGAGCAAGGGAAAAGCACTGAACTATTTTCTATTAGCAGTGCTGAGAAATTGTTCTGTGTAGTTTTTGAGTAGACAGTATGCAAATTTAAGAATGTGGAGGCAATGTAATCCAAAAACATACCTTCTTCTCTTTCAGGTAGTACCCTATTGCAAAGTTTCGATCACCACTCTCTCTTTCAGACTGGAACCTGGAAAAAATGAAGACACACACACACACACACAAATATAAAACTAGGTATGTACTAGCAGTACCAAAAGCTTCAAGTCTGGATAAAGCTTTTTTGTAAGATAGAATAGGCCCTTTAAAAGCAAATCTGTAACATTTATTTAGAAAAAGTGTTGTAACTATTAGAGTAGAATTTGTCACAATATTTAGTGGGATTCAACACTACCCTTGCCACTTTTAAAACAAAACTCATCATACACCCATATACTGATGTTAGTGGAGATGACTCTGCCACCTTCTTCAAGAGGGAGGCAAAGCAGCTGCATACTTGGCAAGACGTAAATCATTGCTGAGTATGAGAAAATATTACACTATGCGGATTATTCCAAATAAAGGCCAAATTAGCATTGTGGGCTATTAGTGGCCTGAAAATATTGGGCATTTCTGATTTGACAAAGTTTCCAATAAAATTACACTTCGAATAAGGAAATCAGAATGGGACTCAGAAGATCAACAGTGCTAACCTGTACAGAGTTCAATAGACTTACTTCCAAGTAAGTGGATACAGGATTGCAGCCTAAGTTTCAAGTATCTGTGACCTCTGCTCTGGATTCCAGCCATGGCAAATAAAGGTCAGGACAAAAAAAAACTTCCCTTGTGCCCTGGCTCAAAATTTCACAGATGCAACACACAATACTCAATTTTGCTGCAAAGAGCATTTCTAGACTGTATGTCATTATATATGTGGACTTGGGGAAGGAGGGGCAAGCTATAATTACCTCCTAACTTGAAACTAGGTCAGTCTCTAGCTGTCAAAGGACACAGCAGAGGCTGTTTCTTGACAAGCCACCCCTGGAAGTAAATTACAGAAACACTCTAGAGTTTGTCCTGGCTTTATGTTGCTTTATGACAGCATCCAAGACGCTGTTTCTGCTTCCCGACTCACAAAGATACTCATTCTTTGGTCTCAGCATACCCAAGAATTCTTCAAGCCAGTCCAAATAATCCCACAAGCTAATTTCTAACTGCAAAAGACAGAGACACCTTCTCAGCAGCTGCCATCAACAGTGCAACTCCCTTTCCAGAGGAGATGCTTAAATGCCAAAACATTTTTCAAAAGACAGTAAAGTCATTTTAATTAAGCTCACTTTGGTTGACTGCAGCTTAGTTGACGAAGCAAGGGCATTTCAGAATGCTTCTTTTTGGTGGGGTATCTTGTGCATGGTTAAGCCAGGATTCCCTCTTGCCCCCTTGCTTGGGCATTTCCCTCCCATTTAGTGAGATTTGTCATGCTTTTAGCACTATAAAAGCATTATTGTGGTAAAAACATCTCTACTCGTGGAAGAAAAGGGTGCCATTGTGGGAAGAACTAATGGGCACCTTCCCTTTCCTGTTCAGTTATCGCAGGGGGCATCAGCAAGGTGTTACTGGAAGCAGCAAGCCAGCTCCTTGCAGAAGAAAAATCACTTTTTTCTCCACAGAAAATGTGAAGGATACTATACTCCATGACTGATTGTTTTTTTGCAGAAAACAAAACCTTGTTGCTGCTTCCTGGAAAAGCCTATAGGGAAGTGATGTTCACTCCCACACTGGGGCATGAGAGGGGCAGCACTAGCAAGGTACCTCCTTGAAAGTCTTGAAAAGCACAGCACAAAGCCTAATACAACTCCCTTCCCCACTTTCTTTGCACAAGGCACTGTACTGATTTGCAGTAATCATACATTTCACCAGTAAATCCAAATCTGGAAGTCATTAGTTTGAACCCTTTATTACTTAGTTCATGTTCAATTAAAAATAAGGAGAAATTTAAACTAAGAAATATACTTACGTGGCATTACTGAACCCAACATACTCATTTCCAGCCATCTTATTCATGAACTGCATCACCTATTTAAAAAACATCACAACTTTTTCAAAATGTGCAATAACAAATTCCATTATGCAAGCCAATGGGGAGGGTTCAGATGCAGTACCAAACCACAGTTTCACGTATGGAAGCATTTGCCTCTAGGTTGCAGTTTATTATGTCTGACCCAGAAACTGTGCCTAGTTCAAACAAATAAGCAAGATCAAACCATGGCTTAAGATCCTAAATTGTTTTAAGAACTCATAGTTTAAAAAGAACTACAGTTCAGGTGTAATGACAAATTGCAGTTAGTTTAAACAAGAAAGGAGATGCCATTGTGTTTGAGAAGAAAAGGTAAGCATGCAAGCCTGAGGCTTGTCCCCATAATGTTAACTATGATTTAGTATTAGGTACGAAATGAGATTTAAGTTCTACTGCACAGTTAGTAGCCCTTATGTGCTCAATCTTATGTGCCCTTCCTTTTCAAAAATAAGTAAATAATATTTAAATGTCACTTACATAGTCAAATTTCTCAGCATTATTTGCTCCTTGCTGAAAGGAAAGAAGACATATTTACAAATGTTGTTAATACACAGAAAGATTCAGTTTTAATTTAGTCTACAGCTACTTAAATATTACTATTTAATATTAAACTATTATTTTATTAGTCTAGATGCCTAAAGATAGATCTCTAAATCGTTTTAATAAAAATTCAAAAATACTACAGAAAATTTCAATTTAAAAGTTACCAACATGCAGGAAATAGAATGAAACATTAAATAAGGCTAGCTTTATTTTAAATCCTTTCTATCCAATTACAAATTAGTGCCTGGGAAATTCACTTGCAATTTATTGCAATCAGTGGATAACATTTAACTTTCCTATCTCATTGTCCATTTTGTTTACATTTTGCTGGATACTAGGATATTCAACATGATTACTAATGCATGGGGTAGCCCTTAAACAATAAGCTAAAGAGTGTTACCAAGACAAATATTTTGGGTTACCAAGTTGCTAAAAAGACGTATGTATGGTTTGCTTGTTTTTTGGCTAGGATCAAACAGTCCTGCTGGGAGTTTTCACTTCTATATCCCTCTGACACCTGATAAAGCTGATCTCAAAAGTCAGGAAATGACTCCAACACAGCATAATAAATTGCAGTCAGGGAGAGTATAAGGGAAGTCCGGATACACACCTGGGAAATCCTGTATGTGCCCACAAGCATCTTTGTATCCAAGCCATTAATGTTCTCTGGTGTGACAAAAACTAGGATAGCAGAAATACTGCTCATAGCTAGTTCAGTAGATTCGGTAACATGTATATGAACTGACAAATATTTAGTAATGTCTAATTTGGAATCAGAAGAAACTAAAGAACTGGACACAATCCTTATGTTCCCCCTTATGTTCACTCAGACAAAGGACCCAACTTTAATTCAGCATCACACCCTGCTTCTGAAACCCAAGGGGACTATAGAAAGGAAATTCTACAAATTCTGTGATTCTTACACTGGTATAGCCTACACCAAATCTACATTGTCTAGATTGTGTGTGTATCTAGTCCACCTAGGGCCTACACAGGGAGGAGGAAATTTCTATCCAAAAAGAGGAGTCTTACTGCCTATGCAGATCTCACCTTACACTACTCTGGGTTCTGGCCACATAATCAAAATTTTGTTACAGATACTTGGGCAGCCAGACATTGAAAAGAATATTCCCTTTAGTCCAAAACCCAATTTAACTGATCAATATTTCCTTCCAGATGCAGCCTCTTATTTTCAGGAATCATAACAAAATTTCATAAGTACATAATACTATGGAAACATAGATATAAAGTGTAGATAGGACACTTTAATAAATAAGGCAGATTCTCTGATTTTTAAGGGTTTACAGTGGCATAGTATAATGAACGTTCTTGTTTCCCATAGGGACCATCTGGCAACTATCAGTGTCTAAAAGACTAATCTGCCAGATATTTTCAAAAAAAGTGTTAAGTTTCCATCGCCATTTTAAAAACAGACTCTTCAGATTAATGTCTCAGTTAAAGCCACAAAAATCATTTGGTTAATGATTTAGCCCTGCCATCTAAAAGAATGCCTCAAAAACAATTCAAGAAGCATTACTTGCACTCTAGTGAGGAGGAGGAAAAAAACGGAAGCCTATCTGTACAGAATTCTACTCAATGAAATGCATAAAGCCAGCCTCATTTCTCATTCTACAAGTGGATTAGGGAGTTGCAGATAATCTGTTGAAGCTACACGCACCAGCTCATCTAGTGATGTGAAGTCATACACGTATGATCACCAGCTGAAAGAATACCACACTGTTGTGTCAATGTTAAGCACCAATAAAGTAAAAATGCTGCTACCCACAGAGTCAATGACTATATATGCTAAAAAGGTTAAGCATTGTGTTGAAAGTTATTAGAAAAACAAGCTTTTTAAAAAGTGTAACTCCAAATCTGTTCAATGAAAAATAATTAAAAGAAGAAATTACCAACTTCATTGAACTGTTGCAGTTGTCAAAATATTCCATAGATCCTAATGCTGTAAAATATGTAACAACATTTAAACCACAAAAACCTTTTAAATGCACAATGATTGTTGCTTTGGGAAAGTGGGTCAGCATTAGTTATGGGATGTTGTACTGATCACTGTTGTATGGTTAAGACAGTTAAACTGAAACAAGTTTTGCGTTTCTCCCCTACATTTAATGGAGAAGAAAGATGCTTAATGCAAGAATACAGAAATGTTTGTTTCTCTCCCCACCCAACCCCTTAACTGAAAAAGGATTTCACAGTTTTAAAATTAGCAGAATAAATATAATAAAAACAAGTCTGAGAATATAATCAAAGCAAACTTATTTCAGTGTTTATCAAATTCAGAGGTTTTTTTGCCTTTCAACTCCAAAAGAAACAAACTTTTTTCCCCACAGCACCTTTAGATATCATTAAGTATACTGATAAAGATGCCGAGAGTCTTTAAAAAGCAAAACCCTAAACCTTGATTTAGCTTGCAGCTCATGAAGTCTTCTTTCCAATCTAAATCTTAATGTATATTCTTAACTCATCTATTTCACCTTTTTCAGACAATGTCGCCAAGTCTAACTTTTCCCTTAAAAAAAAACAACAAATTAAAATGAATCAAGAAGAAAAAGTGCACTGAATATTGTAGGGATTGCTTTGCACTCTGACAATACTGAAGATACATCTACTCATTTGAAGTAGAAAATGAGGCGGTTCATGTTGTCTCTAAGGTTTATTTTGGTTCAGGTCTAATTTTGCCATTTCTGGAATCTCTCAAATTTTATGAGTATTTAAACTGTCTGCAGATGTATCATGCAATATGTAACTTCACAAACATAAGATATACATATATACACTTACAGTGTGCATGCTTGCATGTATATTTATGTGTATATGCACACTATTGTGTATATACAAATGCATGTCTATGAACACAAAATACTTTGAGACTAAGACAATCTAATGATAGGAACATCACTCATGCACATTTCTTAAAGAGATACACAATTTCAATATTTAATAAAAACACAGGATCTCATTTTATTTATACTAACATTACATCAGCATGCAGTTAGATCTCAGCAACTTATGGAGTATGTTTAAAAACTGTTTTTAGTTTTGAGATACTAAGTCACTAGGTATATAAAAACATGTTTAATTCTGTTTTTAATGTTGCTCTTTGAGCTATATTTTACAAGTTTGTGTTATGTTTCTAATGACTGAATACATTAACCAGCCAACACATTTCTGAACAATCATTATTTAGCAAGTAAAGGCACAAGCCTATGCATACTTAGACAGAAAAAAGGCCTACAATTTTCAACATGCCTTAAATTTGTATAGTGTTGTGCCCTTAATTGTACTGAAGTAGTTTCTAAACATGAAGATGCCTCAGAATCAGTTACCAACAAGTACTTTGCCTGCTGAATAGTAAAGAATTCTGATGCTCATAATTCTATTTGCAATTGTTACATGAAACCTTTAAACACCAAGGACTGTCTATTAAATTATGGGTTTGATTCAGATTTAGTCAGGTTTAAAGTAGACATACTGAAATCAATGAGACAAGTAAATCACCACTAACTTAAGTTCCATTAATTTAAATGGGTCTACTCTAAGCATGAATTAGTCTAGTTCTATTAGCATGTAAATAAATCACACAGAAATGGCAGTTATCAGGCTAGACTGAATAGAAACATGGGGGAAAGTGATCTATGTTTTTAAAAATCAAAGATTAAAGGTATAACCATTTATTTGCAGAATTATTAAACTGCATAATTGGCTGGAACACGAAATGGCAGTAGGGTGTGTGCACATGGACAGTCTGTGGCTGTATGGTATGAAGACCAGGATTGTTCTATGATACATCCATCTGTCCTCATACTGATGCATGCACACATTGAACTGCTAATTTTCAGCACACTATAGTGTAACTAAGAAAATGAACCTGAGGAGAGTCTGTAATGACTTCCATGGGACTAAGCAAATGACCTATATTCTACAATACAAGAGGGAAATGAACTATTCTTACCCCACTCACTAATGTCATTAGGGGAATACAAACACTCCATTTTTTATATAACTGAATGGCTGTCATTCATTCCCACAGGGCAAAAGAAAGAGCTCTACTTGACGACAACACAGCAGCATGAATTATAATATTAATATAAGTTTCACTAATTAATGTTAGAAATAGGGGAAAGTGGTAAATTAACCATTCTACTATACATAATAGTATTTAGGATATAGCATATATTTATTTTTGCAGCTTTCATTAATGTCCAGAAATTAAAAACCATCTGTAAATGGTTTTCTTCAATCCTACCCTGAGAACATAATTGGAATTCTTTAACGGCATCTTAGCTATACCACCCAGTAATAACTGCAGTACTGACCAAGCCACAAAGGTAATTGAATTTCCAACTCTTTCCTCTACATTCACAGCAGAAAACTTCAAGAAAATCTTTTCCCTCCAGCATATTTTTTATCTCCTATTCTTTATAGTTGTTGAGATTTTTTGGAGCCTCAGTAGAAAGAATAACAAGAAGAGTCCTTCAGTATACCTTAGAACAAACTCTAAACCTAGTGTTTTTTTAACTCACTCTGGATTGCACTGGATGCCACAAAACCTATCAAATTACAACTGATTGAATGACCACTACAAGCAGTATGACACATATATCAATACTGAAGTGCAGTGCTTTCAGGGACAAATGGGCAATTGTTGTTTACCTCTAATTCCTCTGTTGCCATTAACTAATTCTAAGGCAAATGTTACTTAAAGTTGTCAATCTAGAGATTATGAAGTACATGCAGATGGAGAACGGGCTTCATTACATTAAGACACAAATTCTATTGAATGCCGTTTGGAGTTATACAAGTTTCTGGTTTTCTTTCAGGGCAAATTGTTTGTTAGAACTTAAGAAAACAAACCTGTTTTCACTGCATGCACCTTTGGAGTATCATGAACAGGCGAGCAAGCTTGTTTGTATGTTTCCTCTCAAACTCTGATCCTTTATGGTTTTTGTGCAACTGCTATTTTGAATATTGTTGCCTTTGAAAATAATTGGGTGCTGTGTTGGCTTCTTAGCATTAATGTTTAAAAACTTTAAAAAGGTCAAACAACAACAGAAATTCTACATTCTATTTCCCAATTCTATTTATATTTATAAATATTGGAACAAGGACTGCAATACCTAATGCAAGGAAAATGCATTCCATAATGTTAGGTTGGTGCACATTAGAAAATGGATGAAACTGAACATCCACTATTGGTTAAGACTGCTTCTTCATACTCCAGTGTTCATGATGATTACCACTTTGTATTCTTACTGAGCAGCAGTCCTTTGTTGAACCAAGGATCACTACTTTTATTTGTCTGTCCTCTCTAGATCATCTATTTTTGTTTATTAACAGATGTCACATGGTGTGGCTGCTTGTGAATTAAAGCAACATCTCATGAACTAGCTCTGTTCTCTATCACTAGGTCAGTCAAGGTATAATTAATCAGTAAATCCACATTAAAAATAACTCTCATTTATTAAAGCTGTCATGAGCAGCAGTTGCCATATAACACAAGAACACCTTTCAAGCAACTCTCCATATGGCTGCTACACTGCAAAATTCAACTCTACGCAACAGTAAAGCAGTTGATAAACAATTGAGAGCATGGATGAAACAAAGAATCCTTAGTTGCCAAGATGATGAGAATTACTTCCTTAACTTCAAATGAAGATCCATCTAGCCAAGCACTCTCTTTAGTAGGGGTCAGCAAAATACCTAGAAATGCCATTACCCTATATACGAAATAAAACAGATCTCTAAACAAAACTTGATGTTACTTTAGTAGGTGGTTACTGAGCATGTTCATGTTTTAAATTTAGTAATACCATGTTTCCCCGAAAATAAGACCTACCCCGAAAATAAGACCTAGCTGTGATTATTCCCAGGGCCAGTGGGGAACATAAAAAGCCCTTTTAAACTTTATTTTTAACTTAACTTTAGCTTAATGCACTGTGTGGAGGAAACATGCTTATGCAGCTCTGCTCCCTCCACTCCCTGCGGTGGGGGCAGAGCCGCATAAGCCGATGCTTCCTCTATAGTGCCGGCTCCTGTCACAGGCGGAGTGACACCAAATGTACATGTATTCATGCTGTTGTACATGAATAAGTGTGGATTGTTGTACACATTAAAAAATAAAAAATAAGACCTACCCCAAAAATAAGACCTAGTGTGTTTTTGTGCGACAAAAAAGATATAATACAGTGTCTGATTTTCATGGAAACATGGTAGTTGTGTGTCTGTGTGTGTGTGTCTGTGGGGGTGATTTTCATTTTGATCAAAACAGGCAAAGAGAATAAGCTGAATTTCTCCCTCCAAAAGAATCAATCTTAATAAAAATCTTTCACAACCCCCTCAAGACTTGCCATAATTATTATTAAGAGAAAGAGATGCCACTGGTACCAAACAAGCCTTTTTTCCACCAAATATGAACCGCAGCACAAGAGGAGTTTCATTCAGCACAGGTTTCATTCTTCATAGCCGGGGAAGCTATGATTCCACATGCTGCAATTCCAAGTAGAAACCAGCACTACCCTACATATATATTTTTTTAATCTAAATCCTCCTATTGTTTAGCTTGGACTTAACTGGAAGGTGACTTAAGTTTCAATGAAATGTTTACTACTGCCCAATCTAAAAAATGGAGTAAGAAACCTGTGACCCTCCTGTTGTTCTTCAGCTCCAATTACCATCAAACCCATCCAGTATGGCTAATGGTCATGGAAGATGGCACTTGTAGTCATATAACATATGGAGGTCCCCATCCCTAATCTAGAAAATAACATTATTCTTACTACTCATCATAGCTTCAACATCAAATTAATAAGTCATGGACCATAAATTAATAATCAGTCAGAGTATAATTTAAGTGTTCATGCCCAAGTAATTTGTGTAACTTGAAAAAAGACTTTGTAGCTACTCAGTATTGTCTTGGTTAACTTAATACAAATACTGTACTAAATTCTATTGGTTTCAAATTCTACTTGACTTAGAAAGTTACCACAAAATAAAATAGTAAAAACAAAAGTTAGGTTAATTGAGTTAAAACCATTTGTCCTATTGCACCTATACATGATACACTTAACATGTGATAAGGTACAAATTTAACTTGCTTAACTACTGGACTCTCAGAACCATATGCCATCTTCAATAAAACTGGCCTATAAAATTAAATTTGACATGTACATTGCCATTTGCCTGGTCAAGGTGTACAAGACAATACTTCCTTCAGGTGACAAAGTAGATAAGCTTTTTGAAAGTGTTTCCTACAAACACGGACTATAATTTGCAAGGCTACTACAAGTCTATGCATACATACTTAGAAGTGGGTCCCACTGATGGCAGTGAGCCTTACTTTAAAGTAAACAAATGAAAAGACTGCACTTATGTTACCAAGTATATGCTTAAATTAGCTCATGAGAAAGAGAGCTTTAAATTAGTAAGATTTTCCAATATGTCGACTCTCAAATTTTTATATCATACATTTGATTTTTAAGAAACAGCTTTCCAGTTGATGCAGCACATGAAATGTCTTACAATCATTCTAAATAAATAAAGATGCAATATGGTGATTTATGCCTGCTACACATGCAGATAATTACATGCAAAGTTTCAATGCAATCCAGTATTGGCTAGAAAGTTTGTTACAATTTTCTTGATGTGATGCCATAACTGCATGCAATAAAAAGTACAGCTGAAATATATTACAATGGCTGAAACCTATACCAGTGCTTTTAAATTTTCACCTCAGTAAAAAACACATTGACCTTGAATTCCATTAATTTAAATATAATGTATTTCCAAATACAAGTGCTCCTTGAATCATATTGTAGAGTGCTACACTAGTCAAAAGAATTAAACTCAATTATCTGATGAACTGTCTACCACTTATTTTAAAACCCATTGTCAAAAGGAATTTCTAAGTTATTTAAACCTACAGAAAAAAATAAACACGAATAAATTTACCTGTCATACTTAAGGCCATTTTCCTTCACCTACAGCTATTAAAGATAAATATTTAAAGCAGGATATTTTATACTTTCTTAAATATAAAGAAATGCAAAAATCATGAGCCAAGACTAAAATAGCCTTTCATAACAAAAACTCTGGAAACAAATGGATGTTAAGATGTAATCAACTGTGTAAGTTGTCCATTTTTAATGCCTTCTACCTGAAAACTATGGTAGAACAAAATGTTTATTACAATTTCTAGGAACCCATAACAGCAAGATTAGATTTAAATATGCTGAATGAATAATTAAGGTGATGCAGAAATTCAAAAGAATGGTAAATACTTGTACATATTAAGAAAAATCAGGCAATTCAACATGTACACTTGCATTTATGCAGAAAAATGATTTAAAGCACTACAGTCATTGCAACTATGAAAACAATCATATGGCTCCTAGATGTCATGGGGGATGTGGGCATAGGATACTCCAGATTCCTAGATCCATGGCTGGAGACAGCACTGCAACCTTTGAGCTTGGAATTCTGCCTCAGACCTCCCTCCCCTTCCTCACAGGAGTGTTGAATGAACCACGCCGACTGAGGTTAGGAACTTGACCTTGAAGAGAGGCTCATTTGGGTGCTTTGGGGCCATGAAGGGTTGGAGATGGCAGAGGTCAGGGAGCGAGGCATCATGTCTCCTCTGTAGCCCCCTTCTCATTCCCTCTAAACAATCCCAGATAGACTGCTGAAAATGACTGTCTAGCTAAAATGCAGAGGGGGGTGTGGGAAGGTAAAGATTGCCTCCGTCTCTCTTCCTGCCCTGCAAAGGATGATGATAAGCTTCCCAAGTTCAAAGGTTTCTGAGTAACAAGGGTACAGCACACAGGACTGCACTCTAAGTCAACCGTTTTTGAAATACACTTATCTAAAGAAGAATGAATTCTTGAATTGGTTAAAAATGAGAATGTCTAATATGAAAGAAATACCTCATGAATCTATGAACTGAAGTACAAAGAATGTTTTAGTGAGGCTGTCGCAAAGGACGGCATACAAATGTCTTAAATAAATAAATAAATTTACAAGATAGACATTTTTATTTTAAGTTTGCTAGTGGAGCCTAACTCCAATAAAATGCTCAGAATAAGGTTTCGAAAATATTTTAAATTCCACATTAAAACTTACATTTTAAAACTCTGAAATGATTTGCATGCTTCACAGAATACAAAATCGTAAGTAGAATGTTGTTAATCTACTATTCCCCTCACTATATGGTATTTCAAGCTAGAGAGGCATGTTTGTATCCCCTTTTTCAGAAAAAGGTCCCCTTCTTTAAACCACCTGGTTTCAGACAGCAGACTGGAATTTTTCTAGCAATAAATTTAATGAGGGAAAGGAGAAGAGAAAAGAGTAATAGAAATATACTAGGAGCACTTCCCTTAAAATTCTCTTGTACCATATCCCAAAAATCTTTTTTGAAATTTGAGAAGGAGAAAAGTGGGGAGCTTCTGAAAAACTATTACTGAAAACAGGTTCAGAGGCACACATGTCCCTTTGGATTCACGCTATTTTGCAGGTGCAACAGTTTAACTATATGCTTCTCTAAACTGCAAGCTGTAGTTTGGGTCATAAAGCTTCCATGTCTCTATGAAATCTAGTACTGCACAGCACAGCTATCCACAAAAACTATTCACAGTGCAGTTATCAGGAAAATTAAGGGTAAACAGTTTACCTTGATTAAGGAGGTAACCACAATTGCTCCAGCATTTACCATAGGGTTGTGAGGCTTGTCTGAAAAACAAGAAGGTTAATTCAATCACATACACGGACTAAATTTAAGACCAAAAGAAATAGGAGAGTACTTACAAAGCTAAATTTTAAAAACCAAAGTAAAAGCAAGCCTGTATATATGCAAGAACATTATCCTTCTCATAAGAGACATAAGCAGTTGGTGGGTACTACGACCATCAGCCGCCCCAAGACGTTCTGTAGGCACCGGGATAGAAAAGCTTTTTAATAAATAAATAATAAATACAATCAGCCTTCTGTTACCAAGTTGCTGGATCCTACAGTAGCCTCTTTTTTCACACTTTACATTTATCCCTAGGGCCTATGTCCAGCCTATATCCTCTCCTTCTACTTCTTTCAGTCATAATATTACTTGTGCATCTAACACCACAGTGGGATAACGAGAGTGTTTTCCCACCAGGTGGTTTGAAATCACCATTCTCCCTGCTTAAATCAGGGCTTTCCTCAGGTTGCTTCACCAGCTCCCAACTGGAGTTGGCTCTAACTTCCTCCCAACATAAAGTCAAAGTAAGCCATTTTAAATGTTTTTGATATATGTTTCATCCTTTCAACTAAATCAGAGGTGGATGCCTACAGTAGGTTTGGGAGCCACTTTCACCCCCAGATATCTCCATGGATCACTGCAGCCACCTTCCCGGGGCAGTATGGGTGGGAGCAATAAGTGTCCTGCATACAAGCACTTTAAATAGAGTAGTCAGGGTGGCTCTTGACCAGAATTAGGATTATGAAGTGCTTAGCTTCTCTCCCTCCTACCCCAATACTCTGATCCTGATTAAAAAAAATCATTTCCCACCATCCATTAAAGCAATTATTCAACACAGCTGGGAAGAATTCCTCTTGAGATGAACAGCAGCTTCAGGGGAGATGGGTGTTTACTGGGATGGGGGAAATGATTAACTCATGTCCCACATACTACAGTCCCAAATCTTAACTGGGCATCTCTACAGCTGCTCTTTTAAAAAGAAAACACACATATTTATTGAAACCACTCCTTAACATAAGTAACTTTTTGACTCTTAAATTCTTAAATTCTCTTACATTCTCTCACAGTCTGTCCCTCTATCATCCTTGATCTCCACACCTGAACTACAAGGAAACAAGGTTAGAATTTGTATATCCCCACTTAAAAATTGAAAGTAGTGAATCTGGTAGCACTGACTAGTGGTTCTCTGTGACAAATTAATTAATTTCACAAATAGGGCAGACTTATAGCTCAAAGTTTAATAAATTTCTGCCTTAACTTCCATACAAGCTCCCTCCCCATCCAAGTGCTCCTTTTAAAAGGTAAACATGTTCAAAACACTCAGTTCACAAGTTACAACAGTTAAAATTAGATATTAGAAACAATAGCAGTTTAACTAAAAAGACCAAATAGCATTAAAACAAGGTTTCACAAAGGGAAGAATAAATCAACCAGGTAGTCAAAGCACAGCGGTGTAATAGGCAGAAGACAAATACATTCAGGGAGAATACCACGGCAAAGGCAACACAACTGACTACTTGGTGAAGTATATACATTTAATATAGAAATAAACTCTTAGCACTACTAAAAAAGTAAAATTGGCAAATATTTCATCTTTTCCTCCTTAGTAGATTTTCTGTAAGAAGAAAAAAGATGGAAGAAGCAGAGGGAAACACAGGAGGATTACAAATGGTGGACAAAGGTGTAGGGATTCCCAAGCAAAAAGCCATGAATGCAACAAGGCAACTGCACAATAAAATGGAAGCACTCCATGTAACTAGTAGCTACTCACAACCTTAGAAAATGGATGCAACCCAGAGCAGAGCCTTGGCTGATTATCGTAACTCCTAACGAACTACTTGTATATTTATTGTTGAAGTTTTGAGACAAGTACGCGTATACTTAAGAGCTGTCCAATTATCTTCTATTTCAATGAACCTTCCATGTGCAGAATTAGGATTATCTATTCAAACCATTTCCAAAGTAGAAGAAAAGAATGGACAAGTCTTTGGCATATAGAGCTGTGTATACCAGTAACAGAGAAGCACATACATTCACTGCAAGTTTTAAAAAAGGTAAAGTCAAAAAAGGTAAAGTCAATTTATTGACAAAATTTGTTCAGACAATACTAAAATGATTATTTTCAAAAAGACATTATAACACACTGTGATTACTGCATCACTTCTTCCAGATTTCCTAACTAGCTTTGTTCTACTGATCAGACACTATTTATGCATTTCTTATGAACTCTACATGAAGAAAAAAGCTGCCACTGAAATAGGAAAATCAGAACAAGTGCTGAACTTAGTGCTGCCAATCTAAGATGCTGACAACATCCGTTCAACAAGGAAAATGAAGACAGAAAAAGTTAAAAAGTCATTGAACAAAAGTCATTACAGTCAAGTGAAATTACCTCAGTTATTTTCCACATTTCAACACTGGCCATCTGAAATATTGATATGACATCTATTCAAGTAGACTATATTTAGGATAGTCAATGAAAGTACATGCCTAATGCAAATATTGAACTGGCATGTGGCAGTAATTTTTAGATACAACAGTTGACTCATTTTGCCTCTGGAACAGACTATGAACGCTTGCGTACTTGCATTTTGACAAGGATGTTATAGTATCTCAGCTTTTGTGCATTAAGAACGTAGTAACTGCCATTAAGAACTTAATGGCCTGACATTCAAGGCCAAATACATATACAAGTGCACAAAATTGCTTATGTCAAAAACCTAATGAGTCCCACAGATGGTTCCTAAATGAACAAAAGGGACAGAAATTAACAGCCTACAGAATCAACAAACCTGGTTACTTGTATTCATCCATGCAGAGCGTGACATTTCATCTAAACCCAGGCACCATGGCTTGTTTAAGGGAGGAAAAACCCTTCAAATGAGGAAAAACCCTTCAAATAATCCAAGAGGTGTCTTTATTTTGTAGATAAAAGCTACTGTGAATATGCTTATCTTTCACTAATAAACTAGGTATTTATTCAAAAAAGATGAATTATCAGAACACAATTCAGTTCCCTTCAACAAAATATTTGGTAAGAAGGAAGCCATATAAAGGAAGTAAACACAAAACATATAAACCTTAAACTTAGAGAAGGGCAATTTATTTTTGAACAGGAACTGAACTTTGTGAAATGATGATTAAAAAAAACAGCAGCCACAGCTCTCACCTTTACCATAAAAATCCTTCTCATGATTTAACTTGGTAATGCTGCATGCTGGAAAGATTATTTGAAGACTGGTTTATTTCAATTAATTTAGGACCCTTTTGGCTTGGATCCACAGGATCCAATTACACCCATGCCACATTCTATAGCCTCCTCCTGGAGGGTCCCCTGATCTCAGGTATCACAGGGAGAAGAGAAAGGAGAATAAGCAGTGTTATGGAGCTCTACTTACTGTATTGTACATCCAAGACTTAGGATTTTAACCCCACATTTTGGTATAACTTAGCTCACTAAAGGGATTTTTCCTGACCAAAAGTTCTCCTTTCAATTTTCTGTCATATACATTCATGACAGTCAGACTAGTCAGTCACAAATGTAGCTAGCAGAAGTTTTCTAGTTACCACAATCTTCAGAATCACTACCATTCACATCCCCAAGAGTCTAATATATACATTACATTTGGCAATATGAAAAACAAATACATCAATAATATGCTATAACAGCTGATCCTTGCTCATTAACATACTCCAAGCACTATAAGAATTACTAGCAGTGGACAGAGTACCTAAGGCAAATGAGAGCAAAGGTAGCACACAGTATTAATATGCTGGATATAATAGTAACAACACATACACAGTCCACACTGGTGTTAGTTTATCAATAGTATTAACTTCTATAAATGAACAGATTCATAAACAGTGCTTCTCTTTATCCTATTGTCATACATCAAGAGAAGTAATGTTTCATTTTAGAACACGGTATATGCATGACCACTGCTAATGAAGCCCATAAGGCCAGCTTTAAGGTGCAGTCACAACTACTAGTCATTACATAAAGCAGATGGTAACAACTTCCCAGCCAGGTAATACACAGCTCCCACAGTGTACTTTAGGACAACATAGACTTCTCAAGGGAGAAGCTAGCTTTCACATAACTAAATTCACATGTGGAATAAACCCAAGGAATAATAAAAATGGCACCAACTTTCCCCAGGTAAATAGCTAGTGTCGATTTGCCCTAAGTATTTGACACAACCACTACCTGAGTTCTTTGGCAAATTTATACAAACACACATATCCTTTTCACTCAATCCTCTTAAACCACACTCAAAAATATTTTAATCATATAACAGCAGAATATTTTATACTAAGTAAAAATCTGTGAAATTTCATAGAAAGGAAAGGCAGAGGAAGAAATGCTTCAGTTTGTACTTCCCTCACTCCCACCCACTCCACCTTCCTCTACCCCCTCACTCTATTCTGTATCACTAGATAAAATACTAAAAAGAGCAAATTACAAGACTCACTAACTTACCATCTTCATTGAGGAATAATTTGTTGAATCTTAGTCCACTAGGTTCTTTTCCAACATATCTGTGTACATATTCAGTGCCAAGGTCATTAACTGCAATAGCATACTTCAAAGGCTTTACACAAGACTGAAGACAAAAAGGGACTTTGGTATCTCCAACAGAATGCCTGCAAGGCAAATAGTACATTAGCCATCCCACCCTGTCACATTTGTTTTAAGAAAAAGACATGCAAGACCCGGGGCAGGGCCTTTGGAAGGGGACTCATTCTTATTATTGTTCAGTTCCTATGAGCTATCAGAACAAAACAGAGTTTTTCATTTGCATTATTCATAACCAATCTATACTGCCTAGGCAGAAAAGCTGAGCTAGTAAAAGTAACTGCAAAAACGCCCAACTAAAATAGCCAACAGTGCAGATTTTCTAACAGAACTGCAATACTAATATTATAGCATAGACCGCTATTCATTAAAAGTATATTGCTTCAACATGAGTCTCTAGAGTCACACAGGAAGAGACTAAGCCCACAAAGAACACAATTTATTAACTGTAACACTTGAGGAGGCTTATACAGGCAGGACCAATTTAGACATCATGGGATAGTTCATACAATGCAATACCCCACTGTGGTTATTTAACCTGCAGTGCATGGGGCCACTATTTTGCATGCCCCAACCTGTTGTCTAGTCATGTGAACCCAGAAAGCATGGGTAGTGTGAGGATTAAACAATTCTTGCATCACCCTAGAACTGAGCATAGCCCTAGTACAGTTGTTTAAATCTGATACAACCCATGCTCACCAATTTTGCATGACACAACACCTGAGCATGGATTGGATATGCAGAGTACATGGAGCCCTGCCAGCAACACAGTATCATGCAAAGCAGGCCAGCGCCTAACCACAGTAACCAGCCTGACCTTGGGCTAAGATTCAAAGGAGAATGAAACCCTGTTTTTTCTTACTGGGCTAGGCTCCGCCACTGGAAGGAGTTATGGTAAGATCTGCTTATTACCTTACAAGCAGAGACGTGGGAGCCATGTTTTAGTGAGTGCAGATAATACACACTTTACTTTGTTAAGTCACTGCAAAGATGTGTCTGGTTCACTCAGCATGACATGACACCACAAGATGTCCACCGTCAGGCTCAAGCATACTCTCTTCCTTCTGTGTGCTTCAGTTCCCTCTCATAATAAAACATCACAATTTAAGCTTATACTCTATCATTTCTAGCTCAGGCTTGGAGTGCAAGTGAGAAACAGTCTGTTGGTTCAGACAAGGTGGCAACCCACAGTTTGCTGGAACAAGGTAACAAAGGACCGAGTATGAAAGGTGAAGTTTTAGACCAAAGAGCTGAAAAAGGACATCCAAGTCAGCTCTTGTTTTCACATTATCATTTGTGGCCAATCCTTAATTGCAGTTCAGGTATACAATGAAGTGCTCAACAAATAAGATTACAGAAATCATAAGTAAGTCTAACATCTGCATAGGGTCAGCTTATATAAAAGAAGCTAACTGAGCCAGTCACATGAAGAAGCTTCTTCCTTGCTAAATATCTCAGGAAACAAAGTTCCCAAGCCTGGGAAGTTCCCTAACCATGATTCTGGGCTGGCTCCAAGTCTGGAACAATTCAGTGAAGACTTAAAAACAGAAAAAAGCTATTTGGAGCTTCCTACACAATCTCCTGCGTGCAGTTTCCTTTCTAATACTTGGAATTTTTTAATGAGAATCTCATCCATCTGTTGTAAACAAGCATGGTCATAATGAAAATAAAACCAATACTGCACAGAAGTCAGTTAAATATCAGTGTAAACTCTGGTTTTATTTATTCTTTCCACATCCTCAGAGGAACTGTTTCACCTAAAACGCACTCAAAATAATGGTCTTGATAATAAGTATTTTTTGCTTCAAGCAAGAAGGCTGGGAACCAACAGGCATCTTTTCTTGTTTGTTTCCAAAGATATGCTTGCATAAAAATTTGCAAGACATCCACTGTAAGCACAAGTATACAAAAACAAAGCAAACAAACCAAGATGGTGTAGAAATGTATATATATTTTAGTTAGCAACTTTTAGGTACAGTCCACAGCCTACTGAAAACAAATGGCAAATCTCTCAATTTTATAGTCAAGATCACTTCTTAGCAAACCATTGTACGTTTTATCCCCCAACTATTCATTCCAGCACATTTGTATTGCCATGTTTTATTACATCACTAGCAAGTAAGACATTCTAACACAAGCACTGCTGTATCCGTAGAATCTTCAACTGTACTATTATTAGAGATAATTAGAACAATGTAATATATTGCAGTAAATAAATCTAGCACACTGACCACAGTAAGACAGCTTCAGCTTTGTAGAGAATTGGGTGTGGCTGTTTGCTTTTGGGAATAAGCAGTGTAGTTAAGAGGATGTTCAAGGGTTTATTTCTACCCTATGCATGCCAAATAGCTATGGCAACTTGATTTTGCATCATTAAAAATATATGCGGCATACTCAGAGCTGCAAGACAAGATACTGTTGCTTAGAGTCTCTAAGACCAGAATAGGTGACCAAAATAACTCCCCCGCACTTTTTAAATATCTGTTCATTTTTTTGGGAGCTCAGTGGCAACACATCAGCCACATGTACAAAAAACCCATACACCCAAGTTCTTTCACTCTTCCACCATTTTAGAACTAGAGCAACTTACACTGCAGAGGCAACAAAGCCTTTTCTAGTCCCAAGAAATAGAGTTTTATCTAGTGGTATGTCATGATTTATCATATGAACAAAATAACAAAAATACTGGAGTGTGGAGTGCTCCTGTTAAGGATGCCAGTCAGGCAGCCATTCATGCCTTTTTTCAGAATGCTCCACTCCATCTTCTCTCCTTTCTGGTCTTCCTTCCCCCACCTCAGCAGAAATGCACCGTTCTGTAGTCAGAACGTCCTCTCTATGTTGTTTTGTTATTGCCTGTCTTTTGCTGGGGTGAGGAGCCCCAAAGCCTATATGGGCTCTCCTATATTTGTTAGACCATGCTTATCAAGCAGAAAGGAAACATTGCCTATAGATTGTGTGTACTCCTAGAAACCCTAGGGTTTCCTCAAGCCTGCTATTCCCCCCATCTTCTGTACATAGTGCTGTTTTGGCTATGCAAGCATTGTCATTAGTGTATGCTGTATATAACACAACATCTATTATTTGTATAAAATATTTTGGAATGCATACCTGGTATATAAAATCAACACACCCAGCACGCTAACATTTCCAATAAGAACATTATTCAAAGAAGTGGAGAGTACATAAAAATAATCTCACAACCAAGGAATTCATCCTGGATCTCTGTTCAATGGAGGAATGCACTAGAAAGAACTTAATAAAAAGCAAGCCCTCCAGCTAGCACTATAAGAAACACATACCACTGATTTTACAGTATCCTCTTGTACGCAAATTTGATTCCTCAGTCAACAATCAGTTTTTACCACTACAGCTGACATTATTTGAATAGCTCAGATATTTAAGATACAGCATAATACCTCTGTCCATCGACTGTGCAAACAGACACCGCCCATAAGTCAGGACTGAATTTAGCCAGTTGTGGAATATAGTCAGCAACCTAACCAAAACAAAAGTAATAATTTCAATGTAAGATTATACTGTCAGGCTGCATATGACTTACAAGAGAAGTTTAACCATTAAAAAAAAGGTCAGCAAAAACAATACATAAAAAGTCGAATTTCCCAAACTACTGGGTTTACAGTGAAGGCTTCACAAATTAGAGGCACCCCCACCCCTGAAATCTTCGCTTATACATACTGCTGGACTGAACTCAATGATAATTGCCATATTCCTTTTTTCATGGATGAATCTTCCATATGATATTGAACTGCAGCTCTTATCACACCTGCCCACTGGCTCTGCTGGCTGGACTCATAGGAGTTGCAATTCAGCAATATGCAGAGGGCTATGTGATACCATCCCTGCAGTTATCTTTGCTGAATCTTTCATGGTTCACCTTGGAAATTTCCCGTGAAGAACTTTTTGAATCAAAATGCAGGACAATAATTTTTACATAAAACAAAGTTATTTCTAATATATTAATTTAACCAGTTTCCAAAATCAGTAAAAACAGTGAGTGGGAGAAGAGATGGGAGACTTGTGAGTTCTAAGTTCTGTTATGTGATTTGGACAGCTCAGGGCACAATCCAACAATGGAACAAGTATTACTTGCCATGAAACTATGATGATACAGAGAGCTAAATGTCTTAAATACATCTCTGCATAAGCTACTCTCCATAACAACTAACATTCCTTTCAGCAAAACCCGAATAAAAGAGGTCCCCTGTTCTCAGTACAGAGAATAAAGCTCTCATGTAGTTCTGTCTGCATGCCAGAGGGTAAGATATGAAAACTGGGATATGCACAAGCAGGCCCTAGGAGCTCCCTGGAGGTCATGTGCCCTTTCTGTTCAACATCCAACATCTAGTGTCTACATGCATGTTATCTCACTACTACCACCCCAGATCAGTTGTACTACCCTCTGTCGTCCAGCAACATAATGCAATCCAATTTTAAGCGTGTACACTACCGGCAGATAAGCCAGATAAACAGTCCTGCCAGTATGAACCCGTGATAACATGCAGGAAGTCCTTAAGGAGCCCAAAAGATCTATAAAGGACTTCCTATATTTACCAGATCTAGTTGTGGACCAGAAAAGGAAAAAAAAGGCACTGGCAGAGCAGCATACTTAAGATGTCAAGTAACTAGACCGAGTATTGTCTGAGCCTGCCACTGCAGCCTGTTCTTTCAACCCAACTTTCCAGTCTGTTAAGTTCAGAGGACATGACATGGATTGCCCACCCTGAGAGAGTCTCCTGCCGTACAATCCACTGCAGGAGGAACATGCCTATAATATCTGATATTCCCATACCAAATAGCTGGATCATGCACTAAATTTCAAAACATTCACAATCAAGTATGGTTTAATGAATCAAAAATGTGATATCAAATATTATAATACAGTACTTTAAAACTGTACTAATTGAACATACATAATAAATTAATATAATAGTAATGAACATAATTAAACACTACTAATAAACATAAAAAAACATTACATTAGTGCTACCTCCACCAGGACCAACAAATCAGAACACTTAATGTAAGATGATTTATTTATTCAGGTTGCCCCACTCCCACTTCCCTTCCAGAACTGCACTGACTCTTGCAATGGTTCACACCCGCTTCCTTTTCTTAAGACATATTCAATAAACAGACTCCACGTATTTTCAAAATTGTCTTTACTTATCAAACCTTTTTTCCATTTAATACCACAAGTTAACTTATCATTAAAAGCTGTATTTCAAACTTCTTTATACCAGCCATGTATTTGATAATCATGTTTTTTTTTAATCCCTTGCTATTAATCTTACTGCTGTTAATAAATTTGTCATCAAATTTAGTATTTTGTCCTACTTGTTCTCTAGATAGTGACAATAATGCTAGTCCAGGGTCTGCTTCAATGTATCGGAGACAGTATGCCTATCAATACCAGTGACTGGTTAACAGAAGTTGGACAGTGCTACTGCACCTGCGTCCTGTTCGTGGTGCTCTGCACAGACATCCAATTGGCCACTGTGGGAACTCAATGCTGGGACAGTTGGGCCTTCAATCTGACTGGGCAAAGTTCTTACACTTTCTGTACATGGGCAGAACCCTCAAAAAGTAAAGACGGAACCAACATTTCAGTGCAAGGGAAAACAATTTCAGTGTCACTGAAATGTGCTTCTTCTGCTATGCAAAAATACGTACAAAATATGTTTCCACTACAACACTTACCTTTCCTCCAGATTGTTTTTTAGCATTTTCATACAACTCATCAATGTGAGAGGCAAATGACATAAAATCTGGAATGACAAACTTTCTCCTGAAAGCCTGTGTAAGTAAGACAATGTTGCTCTGAACACATCTGTGAATGGAAAAAAAAAAGTTACATGAGTAACATGCAACGCAAAATGCAAAATATGTTCATTTCCACCCAATATATGGCCTGTCACTCAGCAGACATTAAAAGTGGATTCTAACATATAAATTCTAACTACTGATTTGATCATCTTGATGAAGATTTGTCTTTAACATTGTTAGATACACTATATTTTTTGCCTTTTTTTCTGTTCAAATGTAAGGTTAAATTGCCTGGTGATGTGCCAAAGTAACGCTCCTGTGCTATTATAATAAGCCACAACTTAGAGAATGAATTCTAATATATACAATGCTCCCCAAGTTTAATTACAGACATGATGAAAAATAGCAACAGAGTAAATAATTGTATATTAACAATTTTAAGAATCATCACCACATTGAAGTATATTAAGAAATGGCAAATTATTGTATAATACAGGATGTATAGTTTTATTCATTCATTCATTCACTCACATATTTATAGGCTGCCTATAACTGCCAAAAGGCCAAAAGGCCTTTCTAGGGTGGCTTACATAACAACACATCAAAATGTAAATATATATAACAACGCATCAAAACCTGTTAAAACACTTAAAAGATTAAAAACATCAATACAATAGCAATATAAAAAGGTCACAGAATTCATAAGTGCTAAATATTAATTTATTTTTTAAAGGTATGTCTTCTGGTGCCTAAAGGAAAACAGAGATGATGCCGGGCTAATTTCCCTAGGGAGTTCTAGAGATGGGGAGAAGCAGTGGAAAAGGCCCTTTGCCTAACTGTCACCCCTCTCAACTCCCTGGGTGAAAAGACTCCACTGGAAAATCCATTTTGAAGCTGCAAAATTAACTTCATCAAAAACTATTCAGAAGATCCTGAGATTTTTTTTTTCAAATGAGGAACAACCACTATAATTTGTTGTTCTAAAAAATATCTGTGGGTACTCAAATATGTTATGGGACTGAAATTTAGAATAGGGAAGCACAGTCCACTGGAACTATTCCATAATGAATTCCAAAGAAACACTCGCGTTATCTCCAGGGAAACCTGTAGTAAAAACAGGTCTACCTTGTATCAAATAAAGAGCAAACAAGAGTATGGTCTAGTACTGGAACAGATGAAAAGACAAGGTTAAAGTCACTCAATGAAATACTGGTATGTGCAAATGAAATTAAGGGGTTAGGTTCAGACTGGTCAGGAATGAGTCAGCACTATCTGATACCTGTAGAACATCTATCTATGGCTTCTAGTCCAGACTTGATTAACTGATTTTACACTTGCACACATTTATGTACAAGGAAATTATTCAACAACCACTTTTCCCCATAGTATGTTATCATCTTTAAACATTCATCAACTTGAAATCATTTTCCATGGTTAAGAAAAAAATTACATAACTCTGGTTTCAGCAGATATAAACTGCTTATCTAGAGGGCATGTATAATCATATTCTTAATGGAATAGATTATGAATCTGTGGAGATGACTGTATAGACCCCCTTTCCTATTATCTGCTTATTTGTCCATTACTTAATTCTCAAAAAAAATATTGCACATCTCAGTGGATAGGGTGGTCAACAAATTATACAGTGGTATGCTGAATACCACTATATAATGGCATGAATGCATATTCTATCATTCTGAATTCTTTGCAACAACAGCTAAGAACATTCAAGCTAATCCGATTCCGAAAACTGGATAAGCCAAGTCAAATTAACCATGAGTGTTTCTCTAGTTTTGATTTTTTTTAAATGAAAATTCTTGTTTTATAGTTTGTGTCAAACGAGAATTGTAGGCCCCAAATATTCATGTTTTATGCCATCATTTCAGGTATTTTTCTTTGTACTGTTTGAAATTACTTATGGCTAAAAACAATAAACATTTTGATTGAAACAAGATTTGATAAAAGGACTATCACACATATTTTGTTAACATCAGATGTCTAAAGAGAAGCTACTCGAATAGCTTCATACTGTATATATCCTTCCAATAGGGCCAAAAATAATTATGTTTCAAATCACCAGAAAACAGGAGTCGTAAAAACTAGTTCCCAAGTATTACCAGAGAAAATTTGTCTGCAATAACTAAGGCAAGTGTGCAATTCAACAGCATAATCAACAAACTATGCAGACATAGCCCATATGCTCTCACAAATAGGTCTTTTATGACCTACATAAGGAAGCAACTGTGAAATTGATGGATTTGTTTGGCTCTGTATACAAATGTAATGAATATATGCATGCTCATAACTTTTACTATTAACTATTCTAGAAAGTTTATCCATTATACGTAAATAAATAAGCATCCAAGAGTCTAAATATTTACAATTATAAATTAATAATTATGCTTCACTTCTAGAATGACCAAAATGGGAGAGAGGAATTAACCTATCTCAAAATAGCCCTATTTCTGATCAATCCCACACTCCAACAGCTATTATCTGGGTTTTAAGAGCTTGAGGCCTTAAGTGTAAATAATATCACATTTCATCAGATGTCAACCGAGATCTAATATAATGCTAGGTTATGACAACATTGTGCAACAAATATTTTTAAATACTATTCTAACTTCAACAAATGAGCATAATCATGTTCTCTTATCCACTATAAAATCACTCCAAATCAATTAAATGGCTGTGATAAATTAAACTTTGTCTTAGATAAAAGAGGTGTTTACTTTTTAAAAAGATCTTTATCTAACATTACACCATCTGATGTTGTCTGAAGAGTCAGTCTTAGCATATCCATGCATTCTTTCAGTCTTGGGTCAGATGTACGTAAGCCTGTAGATTTTAGAGCCTGTAAAATAAAAATGCATCACAAATATTTCTTTTGCTTCAGATAACTTGCGAGTAGTTCTGAGGACTACCTGGACTTAAATACAAACACACTGCAGTAGACAGTGTGCAGAAATCCATTCTTTCATAAAGCAACTACGTATTTCAGAGGCTTCCCATAAAGATGCTTAGAAGTTGCACACCCATTTACCCTCAGTTCTATAACACAAACAAAGATAACGAGTCTCTGTGCTCATTGATGGCAGGTTGTATCCTCAAACCCACAGTCCTGTCATGTAAATCCCAAATTGTGGGTTATGCAAAGGTTAAACAATCTTCTCATAAACTTTAAAATAGAACACGGGTTAGGAGAGGGTTGCTTACAGCAACCCCTGAAGACAGCTGCATATTCAGAAGGGTGGCCACACACTACAGCTTTGCCACTGGTAAAATTACCCATGGTGAACTGTGTTGTGCAGAGAGCCCTTATAGTCAGCCTGAGCAACTTAAACATCATCTTTAATTACCTTCTCATCAAGTGATTATTAGAAAGCTTATGGCATGCACTCCTTTTCAAAAGTAAAAAAATGATTTAGCTATTAAGTGTGCAATCTATTAAATAACAAAATATACTTACCGTGATGAACTTATGAACTGGTATTTTCTCTTGACCTTCTGCAATAGTATAGAATAGCAAGTCCTCCAAACTAGGCAAGAGACCTTGTTTTGTCTTACTAAAAAGAAACAAAATACAAGAAAAAGTGAGAAATGAAAAGTCTTAGCTCATTCTTCTAACAGCTCATCAATGAAACAGAAAATTTCACTGGTGAACACATGCTTACTCATACCAGTGGAATGCAACCCCAACGCCATCTCAAACTAGGACTTTATTGCCATCAAAAGCGACTTCTGCTACATCAGAAGCAAAACAGCTGTAGCCTCCCCCTCGATGTCTTTGGACCACAACCCCCACCTTGGCTGATCACTGTGGTTCTTTTCACTGGGGCTAGTGAGAGTTGGAGACCAACTTCTGAAAATTCAAATGTTCTCCATCCCTAATTTTATGTGGGGCCCCATTTCCATTATACGTCAACTAAAAGCATTCAGTGCTTCACAAATAGTATTTTGCCAGGTAATCAAAAAATTTGAATATCATACTAAGTCCTTCTACAGCCTATCAAGCACAGGTTCTCTTGATATTTAAATATGAAACTCTTAAACACACATTTTAAAAACAAAGTTTTTCAGAGATATGTTCCAGGTGCAGAAAGAACTGGATTAAAAGATTCAGGGATTCAGAAGAATCCAACTGTGCCCTGAGTAAATCAATCCTTGTGCAATGTCAACTGAATTCTATCACAAGAGCAAATTTTGGAGCAACAAAAGAGGGGCCTTTCCAGTGTGATGGGACTGCACATCCTGTTTTCAAGCAAAATCAATCTCCAAAACACTTTCTAGAAGTGTGAGTTTGCACCTTTATACCTTGCTTTAAAGGAAAACTGTCCTTTTTTGCCACTACTGACAAGTTTCCTGAGTGCTTCCTCAAGAAGTATATTTTTCAGCATACTTTACTCCAATAGAGCTTTTCAAGTATTTGAAGGATTTAAATTTTGTTGTTGTTCAGTTGCAAAGTTGTGTGTGACTCTTCACAACCCCATAAACACCATTCCTCCAGGTTCCCCTAGATTTAAATACCTTCAGTAAAAAAGCATCTAAAGCTTCAACTATCTTTCTGTCAAAGAATATAAGCATTCAGATGTTTACAAACAATTCTGTAAAAAAAATGCAGAGTGGTTTTGCAGCAGCACTTTCATATAAACTGATATAAGCTATTCATTCTTTAAAATACTGTAAGTCCAAGAATTTGAAATTCAAAGGAAAAAAAGCATATTATTTGTCATGTTTCTTAGATTTTGTTTTACTTTCGTGTTCAAAATCCCAAACACTACTCTTTAGTTCAGGTTCTGCAATAAATACCAGATAAATATAGATTGTGTATCATTCACATTTGCTGCAGTTAAATCAGGCAGACTAGCTCAATATTTAGCTATGACATTGAACCAGCTGATAAAGCACACATGACAAACATTCAATTTACATACAAAAAATACTTTAAATGGACTATTCTTCGATAAAGCTTATCAGTTTAAACTGCACTATAAGCTTTTACTCCCACTATTCACCAGGTCAATAATGTTATGTAATGTTTGTTCAGCCTAAGAGCAACATTTTAGCATCATTAAATGCTCAGAAAAACCCATATTCAGCATATGCCAAAAAGAGCTAAGCTAGGAAGCGGACATGGTATTGTCATAGTTATCTTTACTACGTGGAAGTGAATGTTTGTTCTTGCAAAGTTTGTTTCTGAAAAATATATAGACAAGCTAATTTGAAGGCAGAACACATGACAGCACTGTGAAACAGCAAACACAGTGTTGGCCTTCAAACACCTGGTACAAGGCCATAGTATGAATCTGTAACAAGTACTAAGCCTCATTTTACCATTTGCAAATTGACAAGTTGGTGACCTCCCCTACTGTCTAAAGCCAATTCAGATCCAACCTGGTGAACTTGACTTAGTTGAGTAAACAAAGTTAAGAAAACAGGAGCATGTTGTATTAATTTTACATGGTATATAAATATCTCAGAAGTGCTTCTGATAGCTAAAAGCATTTGAACCAAGGCATGATTCTTCTGGCACTGAGCCAAAATCATGAGCCTAAGTTGAGAAGCTTAAAAAGTTCATGTTAAGACACTGACATCTTTCGCCAACTATAATCAACACACTCCAATCAATATGTTAGCCAGCTACAGTAGGAATAACTGCAGTAGCAACCAGAATATCTATGAACCAGGAAAGGACTGTTTTGAAAACATGAGAGCTTCTCTGAACTGCTGTTGTTAGTACCAGATGTCAATGGGATGGGCTAGTTAATTTCATGATTATTAGGAACTTGGGGTAGGTCATGGGCAGTGATGTTTGGATAAAGTATAGTGTGCTTTAAGTTTACAACAGGGGAAGGGGCGTACTATACATGCCAAGAGACCATAATGCTAATGGGCAGACTTCAAACAAATTACTAAATAAATAAAAAAAGCAGATGGCCTTACAACAAAGACGGCTGAAGACACTGATTAGGATTAATGTAACTGAGACATCTATGGGATTCCTTCTAGTCTACTCACCCAGCTGTGGTACACTTTCCCTTGAAGATTGCTGGTGCAGTTGACTGACTGCAGGAAAGCTAAATGAAAATGGATTATCATGTTTGATTTGATTTTAGAAGAGCATGCCAACGTTGTGTCACCAAAACTGGGCAGGATGAAAAGGAAGGGCTAACCTTTCCAGAAGTATCAAGTAAGGAATGTCATACAGCATCAGATTCAGCATGAGCAGTAGGTAATCTATAAGTAATCTATCTCCTTCATCAAGTATACTGTCCAAAAATAGGACAGTTTTTGAATGATTGTATCTGGTGTTTGGCACCTGAAACAGGGCTGGGATTCTCCTGCTGTACCACTGCCCCCCATGACTAACAGCTTCCCAGATGGAGGTGATATCAAGTGTGGTATCAAGGCCCTCAAGACTCAGGATCTCATGGCCAATGTGCCAATTCGGCGCCTCTCTACAATTATACCTAGGCAAGTACACACAACAGAATTCACACTAGACCTCTCCAGGGAAGATGACCTGTGCATGGGGGAGCCCAAGTGACTCCATTATCCCAGCCAGGCCGTCAACTTAGCAAGTTCCATCTTCAGGCTGTCTACTGGCAGAAGGGCTGAAAGTGATAGTCTCGAGGCAGAATTCTCAGAGCTTTCTGAAGTCTCTACTGCATGAGCCAGAAACACAATGCCTGTGGGTACTCAGTTCATCTGGCAAAAACTCTGATGGTCTTTGAAAAGCCCCCTTGCTTACATCTAGAAGCAATAATAGGCAGGTGTTTGCAACAGAACCAACACCCAAGAGAGTGGGGAAGTATGAAGTGAGTGGGCAAGCAAAGGCAACAAAAGCAGGGGCTGAGTGGGCAGGAGACTCAGTGAGCAAGTGGGAAGGAGGCAGCAGACAGACAGACAAACAGACAAGGAACAAGGCCTAGCAAAGGCAGAATACCAGCAACCAGGGACTAGGAAAGACAGAATCAGAACAGAAATATGCATAGGCCCAAATGACAAATGAGTCATGAGGCTCCCAAAAGTTGCCTGTTTCCAGGAATTTTCCTTGCAGGTTTCTCAACCCAGATTAAAATACAGCTATTGACCTTTAATGCCTTAGCCCAGTGTTCCCCAATGCAGTGCCTGTGTACACCTGCAGTTTAATTTTTTATAAAGTATTTCCCATTTGTAATATGTATACAGTGATTTGTATAAAATACATATAACTTTCTAGCAATTGTATATAAGCTTCAATAAAAGCAGACCAAACATCCAAATAAGTATCCATCTGAAGGTGGTGCCACCTTTGCATATATCAAAACCGCTGTAAAGTCCTCAAGCCATTCAATTATATAGGACATGTATGTTTATCCTTCCAATTTTGTAATACCAGTTTTTATCGGTCATAAGGGCACAAAGAATCCATTTCCCCTTGTATTTGCTAATTTTCATGAAGCAAGTCAATAAGTTAAAAGAGTCTATACATCAGTGAATACTGAAGTCTGTTCCAGTACAAAACTTATCTGTGTAATGACCTTCTCCAAAAAGACACAACTTTTGGACACTGCCCAAAGATAAAAATATGTTTAAAAGAAGCACTAGCTGAATTTCAGGGCCAGCAATTTGCTAAATTAGACAATGCCTTATTAAAGACGCATTGTGATGTTCAATAGAACTGAAAGAAATTGCTTTACCGAATAACATGTAGCTGCAAATCCAGTCACCAAAAGAGTGATTCACTGATGAGGCATTTTTTTTTTGCTGGTGCCCACAACAGCTTCTCAAATTCCCAATTGTGCTCTTACGTTCTTGCTTCAGAAGGAATGACTTACTATACCAATCTGCCTGCACTTGCAGATCTGCATCTAAAGTCCTATTTTATGCCCATCTACAAGAACGAGGTTGGCAAGCGGAAGGGTGAGGGCATGTACAGAATTTGTGGAATGCTGTGTCAATCACACTACAGGCCTTTAAAAAAGAACCCTAAAGTCAGATTTCCTTTCCATTGCTTTCTCCTAAAATGTTTTACGCTATGTTTAGATACAATTATTAGATTTCACTGTTTTTACAGGGGTAGATTTTTATGTTAATGTTTTTATTAAAAAATAATTTTGTCCGGACATCATCTAGGGTTTTAAAATAAATGGAGGGGATCCCAATAAAGTATGTCTAATATGGTTCAATGATAGCCATCAATAATATCAAAGCAAATTTAAATCTTTACTTGGAAATTATTTTTTTGTGTAAACATTTTAAGCCTTCCCAACTGTCCACCAGCACCCTAGTGACAACAGCCCCAAATTCCCCTTTCTGTACATTTCTCATCAAACTTCTGTTCCCCTGGGACCTAAAAGAGCTTTATATGCCGGACCTACTCTGGTTGCCTTATCAAGAATTTTACTCCTCAGGGGGGGAAACAGAGTATGGCAAGACTAGAGAATTTTCTGTTATTATAGCCCACTGAACCCCATGGCTTTCCTCTCTAGACCACTATGTGCTATGGTGCTTCCCTACAGAATCTCATCCTTGAGGAAGAAATGTTGGAATATCCTTTCAAGGCAGGTAGAAGAAAGCCTTC